GGGGCTCGAACTCCTGGACCGCAAGATCGTGACCTGGCTGAAGTCGGACGCTTAACCGACTGCGCCACCCAGGCGCCCCAGAGCCACATTTTTAAATGAGAACTTATGTGTTTGCTTTTGTTGCGAATGAAGTGTGTATGGTTGATGAAAAGTAGGGGACTTGATAAGTGTGTTGTTGAATATGACTGTTGGATTTGAGCATGTGGGAGGTGAAGCTATAGAGAATGACTGGGATGAACTTATGTCATCATTCTTTTGGAGGAAAGGAGGAAAGGATAGCTTCTTGAGGGAACACTGAAGTACAGAACAATCTTTTGTAGGCATCTAAGGCAGGGCTTCTCAGCATCTGTTGCATGGTTCCACTAGAGGGCTCCAGGGTTTGTGGGCTGACCCAAAAATTAACATTCTATACTTATGGGCCAGTGCCACCCAATTTCATGTCTATCAAAGGCAACCTTCTCAGTGTTACAGGGTGGCCCTAACAGTCCACATTTTAAACTGAAATCAAGGAACTGCAGTTTGCTGCATATTCACATATTCTACAATTAAGTCTGGCTGTGCAGATACTCCATTGGATTGGGTGTGCAGTGATGCTTGATTATCCGTACATCATCAGCATCCTCTTGAGTTGGCTAGGGTTTTTCAGTTGCTGCTGTGCTTGCTTTTTTAATTACAAAATTACTCTTGGTTTGATTTCATAATATAGTTTCCTGAAGATTTGCTCATCCTCAGAATAAGCTGTAATGTTTATTTTAGGCCTGCAGTTTTTTAAATAACTAGACTTGAAGATAGCATTGTAAACACAGTAATATTGTGTGCCAAGAACTGATGCAGCAGCAAGCGTGGAAAGGTGGGGTGACTTGGAGAGACAAACCAGGACTTCACGTCTAGACAGATGTCTGTCCTCCATCTCTTGTGTCTTCACCATTCATTTAGCTCACTTCTGCAGTGTCTGACTTGCCACTGTGCTTAGCTCTAAAGTTACAGATACAGGTAAATAAAACGGCTCACCACCCATGTGCTCCAGCAGACAGGCAAACATTCACTGGTAAATGTAAGGTAACATGAATAATAATTGAGATGTATGCAAGGTCTAGCGATAACAGACAAGGAAGTAGTCTGCTCTGGCAAGGCGGCCCAGGCAGGAATCTAGACAGGAAATATCACTGGAGCTGGGACTAGACATATATTTAACAGATTTTTTAACATGCTTTGGAGGTACAGAGGTGGAGAAGAATTACAGGCCAAGGGACTGGCGTAAGCAGACATAGGTAAGCATACATAGAGTACTATGGCTTGTTGGGCTGCAGGTGTTTCTTTTGTGATGAGAGAGGAAGTTGAAGGGGAGAGAGCATCAGGAAGATAGATACGCCTATGTTGGTTATAGTCGCATGAAAGAGGTACTCTTCACACCAGAAAATGTAAAGTGGTACAACTCTTTTGGTAAGTCTTCCAGCAATCTATATCGAGAGTCTTAAGAATTAAAAAAAAAGACCCAGGACATCATTTTAAGGAAATGAGGTATCCATGAAATTTTCCATTCAAAGATATTTTTTATTCAAGGATATTTACAGTAGCAGAAAAAAGGGCAAGGGTAAAGGGAAAAACAGGCAGCAGGACCTACCAGGAGCTGGGGATGTAGCAGCAACTAAAGTTTCTGTTCTCAAAGCTTACATTTTGGTGGGCTTGGGGGTGAAACAGGGAGGCTGCAGCATAGAAGATAAACAATAAAAAATGGCTAGAGAAGCGCTTCTAAGACTAATAAAGTAGGTTGAGAGGATTGCGAGTGACAGAAAGTGGTGCTATTTTAGACAGAATAATCAGGAAAGGTAAGTTAATATTTGGATAGAGGCCTGAATAAATTGAGGGAGCAAGGCCTGGAAAAAATCTGGCAGGAAAGCATTTCAGGCAGGGGGGACAGTATGTGCAAAGTACCTGAGGCCATTGTTTAATGTATTCTTGGACTGGTTAGGAGGAATGCATTGTACCTGAAGCAGGGTGGCCAGGAGGAGAGTAGTAGATGAGGACAGAATGTACAGAACCTTGTAAACCGTGTTAAGGATTTAGGATTGATTCTGCATGAGATGGAAACCATTGTGGAGACATGAGTTAGCTTGAGTTTTAAAAGGGTCATGCCAGCCTGTGACTAGAGAACAGAGCGTGGAGCCAGGAGTGTGGAAGTTTGGAGACCGACTAGGAGGCTATGGAAATAATCCAGGAAAAAGATGGTGGATTGGGGTGCGGGTGAGGAGTAGTTGATGTGGGCTGTATTTTTTTCTCTTTTGTTTGAGAGAGAGAGAGAGCGTGAGCAGGGGAGGGGCAGAGGGAGAGAGAGAGAATCCCAAGCAGTCTCCACACTGTGACGGTGAGGACACTGTCATAGGGCTTAATCCCAGGATCTGTGAGATCATGACCTGAGCTGAAGTCAGGAGTCAGACCCTTTACCGACTCAGCCACCCAGGCACACGTGGACTGTATTTTTAGAGTCTACAGGAACTGCTGATCAGTGGGACGTGGGACGTGAGAAAGAAAAGAGTCAAAGGTAATCACAAGATTTTGGGTCCAAACAACAGAAGTATGGAGTTGCCCTTTGTTGAGATTTGGAAGATCAGAGGAAAGCAGGCTTCTGGGGGGAAGTTGAGTTCAATTTTAGACATGTCAGATTTGAGTTGCTGTATGACATCGAAGTGAGATAGTGAGATAGTGGCATTTGGATGAATGAATTTGCAGTTCAGAATAGAATTTGCAATTGAAGTTAGAAATGTGGGGTTTTTAGTGTGTGAAAGAACAGAGAGTGACAGCCTCAAGGAGAAAGTGGTCACCTGTGCCAAGCATTGCTGATAGAGCCAATAAGATGAGTATTGACTGGTGTGTTTGACCACATGGAGATGGTTGGTGACCTTGACAAGCACTTTGCATTGAGTATCAGGGGCTGCAAGTATCTAATTAAAGTGGGTTTGAGAGAATGGGAAGATAGAACGTAGATTCAGCAAAAGTCTTTCAAGGAGATTGTAAGGGGGAATGGAAAGATTAGCTAAAGGAGGCTGTGTGGTCAAGAGAAAGTTTTGGGTTTTTTGTTTTTTGTGTTTTAAAGTTTTTTTTTTTTTAATTAATTTTGAGAGAGTACGCATGCACACACAAGGAGGGGCAGAGAGAGGGGGAGAGAGAGAATCCCAGGCAGGCTTCATGCTGTCAGCACAGCGCCTGACGTAGGGCTCGATCCCATGGACTGTGAGATCATGACCGGAGCCAAAATCAAGAGTCGGACGCTTAACCCACCGAGCCACCCAGGTGCCTTAGGATTAGGTTTCTTGATACTTACAGTCTCCAGTCAGAATTCACATATGATCACAACTCTTTCTTTTCCTACAGAAGAAAAGTCTTTTACCATTTAGTGTATATGAGCTCCACCATGCACATGGTGGATCCTTGGTGTAATGGATTATAGATAAAAATCCCACCTCCCCAAATAAGAGGAATGTGGTGCTCTTTGTTCATTAGGGGAACAATGTGCTCTTAATGATTTGTTGATAACTTGGTTTAGATCTCTGTGTATTGAACTCCACCTTTAGTATTAATGAGTTACTTATGTGTACTGCTTTTCCTCTAGAAATCTCCATCTCTATTGGAATTTTACCAAGAACTTGGATTGCCGCCAAAACAGAAAGTTAAAATCTTTCGTGTAACAGATAATGCTGTGATTAAACCAGGTAATCTGAGGTTGGGGAGAGGAGGGAGGCAAAAATACCCAGATAACGTGGTTTGTTTAATGTTAGCCCTTTCAGTAAAGTTGAATCCACAATACAAAGCCCCAAACATTTATTTTTAAATACAAAATGGCATCTAATTTAATCACTGGGGACAAACAAGCCATTTTCTTTTTTGACTAGAAAGAACTGTAGAGAACTCTTTGTTTTCCATTAAAGAGGGAGGAGTGCTTTTGTTTTTAACTTGTACAGAGAGTTTTACATTTGGAAGAGTCACTCCAAATAAATACACTAACTTTTATTTATTTTTATTTTTTATTTTTTTAAATACACAAACTTTTAAAATGTGAAGTTCACTCGGTGTAGGGTGGCATTTTAGTAAGTGAGGAACAGCTAGACCCCCGTTGAGATAGAAGAATTTGAGAAAATATGAAACAGTAGAGTGACTGACCATAGCACCTCGATCCTTGCTTAAAAATTCCAAAGTATTTTACTTTACCAGATGTCAAAAAGTACAGTTTGGCAATGTGTTTATGTCGGTTTATGTAGTTAACAACATTTTGACATCTTTGAACTTCAGAAAAGCTCCTTCGTGTCTTGAACTTGAGTTCTAACAATTAGTCAGAGGGTGTCTTGAGATTTAATACTTTAATATCTGAACTGAATTTCATGAAGTAAAGTACAATTTCAATACGCCTTACTAATTGGAATGACAGAGGATCAGCCTTGATATAAGCTAGAATTAAAAGTGTTTTTTGAAGTACAAGTACTATAGTTTAAAGCTAAAGTGAATGGAATTAAGGGAACAAATGTAAAATTTAAGTCCATATTAACTTCTGTTGTAGCTCAAACCATTTAAAATTGTTTTTGTGGTGAAAAGTGGTCATGTATCAACACTTCAAGTCATTCAACCTCCTAGAAATTTAGTCAGTTTTAATCTCTCCTATTTTTTCTTAGTTCAACGTTTTTCTCTGCCCATACAAATCTAGGTTACGTCCTTCATTAAAGGATACTACCCCTCTGAAATCCCGTAGAATCTTACTCCCTGTTTTAAATGAGCCAAAAATAGCATTCAATTATATTCCCTATTACATTGATTATGGCTTTTTTTTTGTTTTGTTTTTAAGAAAAATGTCTCTTATTTGATGATGTTAACGTTGATTCTTCACCTATATAATAAATTCTTGAGGTCAGGAACCATGTCTTATACTTCTGTATTTCTAACTGTACATATGGTAAATGTGCAGTATTTGCAGATTGTCAAATTAAATAGTTCTCATAGTGTTAACTTTAAATTGATGCAAACAAAATGTTGTGAAGGACTTTCACTTACAAAATTCCTTTAAATAACACATTTTTCTGGTGTATTTTAAGTAAGACTCCATTTACATACAACCAGATTTGGAAATGTTAGTATATAAAACTAGGGGTATCAATAATAGCAATTTTTCAGTATTCTAAATGATCCAGGCATGCTAGAATAACTATATTTTATTGATACAGTGACCATTCTACCAAAAATAGATATGTATGGGCTATATATGGATATCACACATCCAGTGTACAATGGAGCTGGGTTCAAACACTTAAGTTCCTACTTTCGGATAACTTATCTCAAATCTCTAAAAAAAGATTTGATCCAGCCAGAACATTTTTTTGAGTCATTCTTTTATTTTTATTTTCGTTATATGAAATAGGAAAAATATCTTAAGTCAGTATATTGTTATTTACCAAAGCAACAAAAAATCATCAAACCCATGTATTTACCAGCAAGAACACAGTGTCTGTCATGTGAATTACCCATTTCAACCAGTACCACGTTGGCCTCTGTGAAGGCACAAGCCCATCCGCCAGCCGTGATCTGTTGGCCCGACATCCTGGGACACATTGTTCTTCAGCCCATGGACAGTCGATTAAAACATGTTTGATGAACAATTTTAATTATTGATGTTTCTAATAATTATAATTGCAGAAGAGAATCTTCTACTTTTTTGGAAACCTGATAGGCTTTCTAGATGTAGTTTATGTTCAGTGACGTTGTTCTGGGCCGACATTTCATATATTGTTTGTTTTCTTTTCATAAAGGCACTCCTCTTTATGCTGCTCACTTTCGCCCTGGACAGTATGTGGATGTCACAGCCAAAACGTAGGTCTGCTTAACAGGTTCTTTTCCTTTTGTTCTTCTCATATTAAAAAATAACAGAGCAAGTGAAAGTATAGTCTTTCAAGTCAATGAGTAAAGATTAAGTAACCATTATTCTCATTCGTAATTCTATAACGTTACTGATTGTACTGGATTTTAAATTGCACTGAATTAGTTGTATGTGAAGAGTTCACATCAACTTACAGGTTTTAAACTGAGACACATGCTTCTGGAAATGAGTCTGAAAGAAAGGTCACATTACTCAGGTTCTTTGTGGGTTGGGCCCGCTTCTATTTTTAAGACCAAAGGCTACCTGCTGTTTGATGGTGAAATATAAATGAACAGTGCTATGCAGTTCTTTTGAGATTGTGTCATCTAGTAATTGGTGGTTCTTTCCAACTCTAGGAGATGGTTACATTAGAAACATTACAAACATTTTGTATGGTATGCGATGGTTGTTTTGCTTAAGGTTCCCCTAGGGTAACTATAAAACATTTTGTTAACTGTGTTAAAATAAAAGCCTATCAAAAGCTGGAAGAAGCAGTATTACACCTTAGACCTCTAGCAGTATGGGGTTATCTCTCAGTGCTGGACAAGTGAGACTTCTTGCATAAAAACAGGATATTTTTTTATCCTTAAACAAGGGTTTAATTTGGCAGAAATCAACACTTATTTGTCACACTAACAGAAAAATGCTGACTTTGAGTCATTTTCAGACTGGGCAATGGTATTTCTGGTACTTTAGTTTTTTCGTATCTTACTGTCAGATGACTTAAGATAAGTTCGGTACTGGCAGGATGATCTCCAGGAAACATTTAGCTCTTAGAGAAGCAGCAGTTCAAAATTTGGTTAAGGTTACTTCACTATGGAATGAAGTAACTGATCCCCCGTCTATGTTTGTGTAGAAATTGTTCAGTATATGTTAGTAGAATCCACCTGACCTAGGCTAAACTAAACTCCAGATATCAGCTCTTGGCCCTTCTTGTTTCTTGTTCTGTCACCACAGATGATAATTTTACTTCTTTTGTGTGCCTTTTTTGTCATTTGAAAAATGGGTCTGGGAACTGTTTCAAAATTAACGGTGGTCCACAGGTGCTCTGGAACAGTCTGACAATCACAGTGACTGAGCCAAAGAGCTTTTAAGCAAGGAAACCAGATGAGTGCCAGCATCAGTTTCCTTAATGCAGTCAGATGCACTTTATTTCCACTCAGGTAAGAGCCATAGCAAACAGCTCTTACCTTTGATTAGCTATTTAGAAATGGAGTCCGGATAGATGGACAATACAGTGGGTCCTCTTTTTAGAGAGATTATGGACTTCTCCCCCTTTTTTTCCTGCATCCTGATTGTTGCAGACTCATTCCTACTTACTGAGGCCTCTAAAATTACTTGGTAACTTTCTTTGTTCTGTCTTTCCTTGTCAAGAACTCAGAATATTGGAGCTGTAAAACTTTCGTTACCTAGGGAGATGTGTGTGTCGTGAATCAGATGATTTTCCTTTTTAATTTCTGAGTTGATTATTATATATAATAAAGTACCTCAGTAATTTTGTTAATATACACACAGCTGATAGTGCATAAATTCTGTTACCTAGTTTACCGAATATATGAGCTATCCTGAGAAGTCCTACAAAGTCAGAGGCCTTTGTTAGCAGGTGCCTTGTGCTGGGATTTGTGACTAGATTGGACTAAAGCCAGCTTTTCAGATGGCTGTGTTCAGCAAATGCTTTCATTTCATATGCTGCTGTCAGGTTTCATTGACTTCTTAAAAGTTAGTTTTAAAACTTCATCCTTTTTATTACGAGTATAAAATGAAAAGGAAGCGGTTTTAATATCATGTACCTAGAAAACTGTAAATCCTTGTGCCAGTCTCAAGACTAGATGGCTGATAAGAGCTGGGGGAACAACTAGCCCTGGGATTTAAAGTAGTTGCCGTTCAACTCTGGAGAAGGGAGGACCTTCATTTGAGAAGATCTCACTGTTGTGTGTGCTGCAGTCCAGGATTCTGTTTGACTTTTCACCAGGTAACTGGCAAGAGTTACCCCACACAAGTGTGCACTTTAGTCTCGTGGGCATGTCTTTACATCGTATTACTTCAGATGTGATGAAATAAGACTTTCGCTTTTTGCTGAATATTTCCAGTGACTCTTGTAGCTAGCATGTTATTATGGCCTCAAGATGCTTCTGAGTGTTTGTAAATTAGTGGGACTCTGTCCTTCTCACGAGGAGCCGTTTTGAATTCCTTCCAGGGGCAGCATTGGATCCTCAGCTGCATGCAGTCCTGGTGGCTGCTGCCTCTCCCTTTTGCCCTTGACAGATAATGGAGGACACACACACGCATCTGCTCACTTTTCTTTTTCCTTTTTAAATCCTGGTCTCCTTTTCCTGATGCTTCTCAGTTTACGGAGTTGAAGTTCTTTACAGCCAATGAGAATGTTCTTCTCCTTGTTGACTATAAATGGAACCATCATCTTTTGGGAATAGATTACGAGTACTCTCGGTCCCTTACTATGTCTTGCTTACGGCCAGAGATTTGCTTCTTTGTCCTCCATTTCCAGCCCCTGTTTTAAATGTTTTGATATGTCTGGACCCCCTTTTCTTGATTATTAATCCTGTTAGAAAAAATCGTACAGTGACACAGGTCCCACGATGAAGGATATGGATTTACAGGCAGAGGCAGTGGTTGTCACACTTGAGTAGGTTTCAGAATCTGCAGGAGGGCTTGTTAAACACAGATTGCAGGACACCCCACCCTCCAGGCCTTACAGTTCTTTTTTGGTAGGTCTGGGGTAGTACCTGAGAATTTGCATTTCTAACAAGCACCTACTGAAGTAGATGCTACTAGTCCAGGGACCACACTTTAAGAAACACTGGACTAGAGAACAGTCAAGGGCTCACCAGTGGAACCACATTCCCTTCCTACTCCTTCACCCCGCTTGGAATCCTAATCCTTTCCTTTTCCTAAGTCTGTATTCAAATTATAACACATAAACATCTGTTTTACAGCAAGCAAATTTAATCGATCCAGTTTTGAGTAACAGGGTCAATAAAAGTAGGCCTATTTATAACTCACATTTTAGTTAACATAGAACTGAAAATTGGTCTCTTTAGTAATTAATGGTCTTCATCATCTTCTTTCCATTAGAAAAGAAAAATCTGAAATTAATCTCATTGAAAATCTTCATTTTTCTCACATTGTAATATTTATATTTAAATGTTAAATCTGTACTTACATTTTGAGTATTTCAATTTTTTTTACTTTATACCTTCAATTTTAATTGCTTGACTAAACATAGTTTAGGAATAACTAAGAACATTTGGGGCGCCTAGGTGGCTTGGGCATCCAATTCTTGATATCAGCTCAGGCATTTATCTCAGGGTTGTGAGTTCAGGCCCCTCATTGGGCTCCCTGTGGGGCATGAAGCCTACTTTACAAAAAAATTAAAATTAAATTAAATTTGAAAAGAGGGCTCAGTTGGTTGAGCACCTGATTTATGCTCAGGTCATGATCCCAGGGTAATGGGATTGAGCCCCACATTGGGCTCTCTGCTGAGCATGGAGTCTGCTTTAAGATTCTCTCTCTCTCTCTCTTTTCTCTCCCTTTCTCTCTCTCTCTCTCTCTCCCCCTCTCCCTCTCTCCCTCTCCCTCCACCCCCTGCTCCCTCCCACCCCTCTACCTGCTCACACTGTTGATTGATAGATAGATAGATAGATAGATAGATAGATAAGAAAATTTAAAACAATATACTACCTAAAATAAGAGAATACAATGTTAATGGAAACTACTTCAAGGATGAAATCGTCTGCATTTTTTTTAAGTGACCAGTGACCAACAGTAGTAACTTCTTCTTGAAGACTTTCTTAAATTTTTAAATGTTTCTCAGTTAATAATTGCATTGGAAAATCTGCTTGCATTGAAAGATACATTGTATTTATCTGTGCCAAATTTGGGTATGATTCTCTGTATAAATAAGTATTTACTAGTGTCACTTTGGAATATGAGGTAAATACATACTTTCCAGAGTTCATTTTAATTTTTACTTTTATACCAGAAATCATTTTTCATCCAGAGGACTTGAGAATCTAAATTTAATTTAAATTAATAGGAAAGGTTTTTACATCTAATATATAAAACCATTCTAGCAGGGGCGCCTGGGTGGCTCAGTCAGTTAAGTGTGTGACTTTGGCTCAGATCATGATTTCACGGTTCGTGAGTTCAAGCCCATCGTCGGGCTCTGTGCTGACAGCTCAGAGCCTGGAGCCTGCTTCAGATTCTTTGTCTCCCTCTCTCTCTGCTCCTCCCCCGCTCACAATCTGCCTGTCTGGCTCTCTCTCTCTCACAAATAAATAAACATTAAAAAAATTTTTTTAAAACCATTCTAGCAGAATAATTTTTCAGTTTCATTATCCTGTTTACAGCTATGCTGTTAAAAGCCCTGTCTTTGAAATATGACAGTTTTATGTAATTCATTCTAAATAAAAATTTAAGACTAGCATGTACAGTGATGTGTTCCTCACGCCCTGCCCTAGCATCTTTTAAAGTTTATATCCCTGTTCTATAATGGCGATTACATTCCAGTGTAACTTCTAATAGATGTTCTCCCTTTCTTTCACTCTCAGCTTTGAGAAGGAAATGGCTATGAATAAACAGTAGGTGAGATGAGAGGGACTGTTGATTCTGTCCTCAACATAGGATGCTTAGCCCATTGTTTTCTGGTGAATCCTAATGGTGCTTGTCATATTTTATAGGGTTTTTTTTTAAAGGAAAGAAATTAGACAAGAATGAAAGAATAAACAAAAATAAAACTGTAAAAATGCACTCTACATTGTAGGGAAAGGCGGTTAGGTCTTGTCTGAAAGGACTGGAAGGACACCGACGGTGCTGATACCTCTATGACGTGGGCGTGGTGCCCTTTCCTGCCAAGTGTTTTATTAAGCTTTATTATTAATTTTAATGTTTATTTTTGAGTGAGAGAGAGTCAGACCGTGAGCAGGGGAGGGGCAGA